TTTTTGAAATTGAAAGATATCATTAATTTGATCAATGATTATAAAAAATATTGAATATTAATGTTTATTTCTCAATTTAAATAATACAAATTAGAATGTATCACATTATTTTATGCACAAATTTGATATATGTAGCACCACCCTATAAATATAGGTAAATTCACCTAAAAAAATATAGGTAAATTATTGTATACAACGTATATGTAATAACAATAAAAGTTCCTAATAAATATAATAATACATACAAAAATAATTTATCTACAAAATAAAAGAATGTTGCTTGATTCAAAATTAACTTACCTACATTTTACATAAAAATATAGGTAAATTATTTGCGCACACACACACGTATATATAAGAATAATAAAATGTGTTTAGTATATCTAATAATATATACACAATAATTTACCTACAAAATAAATAAAAAAATTGTTTGATTCAAAATTAATTTACTTATAGTTTACATAAAGTATAGGTAAATTATTGCACACACATATAGAATAATATTGCAATGTGCCTAATGTAACATCCCACATCGTCCAGGGGTGATCCTTATATGTATATCCCATCCCTACCTAGCACGAGGCCTTTTGGGAGCTCACTGGCTTCGGGTTCCGTAGGAACTCCGAAGTTAAGCGAGTAGAGGGCTAGAGCAATCCCAGGATGGGTGACCTACTGGGAAGTTGCTCGTGAGTTCCCAAAAACAAAACCGTGAGGGAATGGTAAGCCCAAAGCGGACAATATCGTGCTACGGTGGTGGAACGGGCCCGGGAAGTCGTCCCACCCGGGCCGGGATGTGACAATTTTGGTATCAGAGCCTAACCCTGGCCGTGGTGTGCCGACGAGGACGTCGGGCCCCTAAGGGGGGTGGATTGTAACATCCCACATCGCCCAGGGGTGATCCTTATATGTATATATCATCCCTACCTAGCACGAGGCCTTTTGGGAGCTCACTGGCTTCGGGTTCCGTAGGAACTCCGAAGTTAAGCGAGTAGAGGGCTTGAGCAATCCCAGGATGGGTGACCTACTGGGAAGTTGCTCGTGAGTTCCCAAAAACAAAACCGTGAGGGAATGGTAAGCCCAAAGCGGACAATATCGTGCTACGGTGGTGGAGCGGGCCCGGGAAGTCGTCCCACCCGGGTCGGGATGTGACACCTAATAAATAATAAAACATGTAAAATAATTTACCTATAACGATTGTCACCAAATAAAAAAATAAGACGTGAAAGATAAGTATTGAAATAACGTGAGAAACTCATGAGTGGATAATTTCTATAATAATAAGGCACTTATTTGCCATAATCATGGTAGGTAATTAAATATGTTAACGTAATTAAAGTGTTATTGTCACATCCCGACCCGGGTGGGACCACTTCCCGGGCCCGCTCCACCACCGTAGCACGATATTGTCCGCTTTGGGCCCCGACCACGCCCTCACGGTTTTGTTTCTGGGAACTCACACGAGAACTTCCCGATAGGTCACCCATCCTGGGAATGCTCTCGTGCGCTACTCGCTTAACTTCGGAGTTCCCATGGAACCCAAAGCCAGTGAGCTCCCAAAAGGCCTCGTGCTAGGTAGGGATGAGAATATACATTTAAGGATCACTCCCCTGGGCGATGTGGGATGTCACAGTTATGACACATTTGTAAATATTTTAGTAAATAGTAGGTTACTTATTTGTCTACTTGGGAGTTAATTTGAAACTTGGGTTTTATTTAGAGGTTTAAAACGTTATGGATTTTTGTCTAAAAAATAAGTACCGCAAGGGCTTAACTTTCAAGAACCCTAAATTAATTAGCATATAATAAAACATTAATTCATGTGTTAAGATTGCCGACCAACCAATAAGCACCAAGCATTTTTGTTTTTGCAGTAGTCCAAACAACGAATATAATCATGATGTGCATGTTTTATTAATTCGATAGGCAATGTGTGTACCTAAAGAGTCTTGATTTGTCTGTGGTCAATATAAGCATGCATGTTTTCCTCACCAGAAACATACAAATGCAAGAGTGCGACGTGGGAAGATTATTTAACCGTAGCTAGCTATATATATATATTGCTAGTGTAACTATACGCAAGTGAGAGACAGTGATCAAGTCGTTTTTGAGAAGTCGACATGTCCTACAAAGTAAGGCTGCATGCATATACATCCAAAAAATGGTCATAAAAGTCAATTGGATGGCAATGACTCAGAGCCAAGAGACGGTCGAGCATGCAAAAGTCGTAATATATGATTGTTTTGCAACAAATTTCATAGAAATGTGATCGAGGAGGACATTAACAGATATAACACGGAGTAGACTAATAAGATTGAGCAAATCCCATTGCAGAATGAATTTTAATAGAGAAATGTTATCACGTCAAAACTGTTTGGCAAGTTATGTTGTTAGATTGATAAGATCAACCTAATCAACTAATATTTAAATATGATTTAACCTAACTAATGATGTTCATCGACTATCAAGCAATATCAATATTTTAGGTTGTATGTCAAGAGAACATTACTAATTTGTATAAATATGCCCATTATATGATTTTCAAAGCCATTTCTCCTCTCAAACTACATACGACGGCTGGAGAAGAAATATAAGTTACAAACTTTCAATTAAATTGAGAAGATGTAAGCATAAAAAGTTGTTTATGCTTAACATTTGTAGATCACCGTCATGTTTGTGGCCGGATGACACCCTGAAACATGAACAAGAGATTAGGAAAATTAATGGGAGGGTTTGTGGCCCTTAATGGGTTGTTGTGTCCGCCTAATAGGCCGAAACAACTACAGGAACAGTTAGGCGCCAACAACTAGATAGCTTGAATATCAACTGTGCGTAAGGTTATTTCAACAATTTTATCTGACTATTATTTAGTCCAGTGACAGTTATTTTTATTTTATTAGCAAAGTTATTAAGTTTAAATCTCATGAACTACAATTGCGTAATTGTTTCTTTTTCCAAGTACAAATTTGTAGGTCATGCATAGATTTCAGACGTGTTTCAGATTGCTTCTGAAAATGAAAAAAGAGTGTTCTGATAATTAAAGCAATTTTAATTGCAAATTAATTAGAAGTGCCTATATGTAAAAGTGTTTTCTATACAGATGCTCAAGAAGTACTTTCAAGTATTTTTGAAAAAAAAAAACTCTTAGTAAAATTTCAACGCATTTCAACTTAAAACACTTTTCGAAGTAAAAATCGTTCACGCTCCGCTCCAATTTTCTCTAAAACTCCCGATGATTCATTTTTTGCAATCTCATTGGTCCTAGCTTTTTTTGACTTGTCCCCTTCCTCTGATGAAAGCCCCACCGAAGCAGAAACAAAATCCCCACACCAGGCTCTCAATCTCCAGGAGCTTACGTCAACAATATATAATATAATGATATATACACACACACACACAGAGTTAGAACTTTAAGACATTATCATGATCTTATATTGCATCAAGCAAAGTATGGAGCATATATGCATGCATGCATGTCATTCAGCTCATCATCTTCAGTCGGCCTCTCTCAAAACCCATGCTTGCAGTCGACACGTGGTGGTTTCCCATTGGCCGGTGATGACCTAATACACTTGGACACCAAGTTGGCACAAGTGAGTCAAAGATGATAATATTTGGGAGGGTTTGGAGCTGTAGCTTATGGCCTTGTACTACCACAAATTCATCTGTGTTCTCATGCCACCGTCCACTTGTTGGGTGATTGACAAGTGTTAGCCATCTACCGGTACTGTATTCTGATGGGTTATCAGTTAGAACAACTAATACTACAAATTTTACAACCATTGCAGGGGACTTCGATTTGGTATTTTCCAAGTTCAACATTTTGTACCTAATTTTGGTAGGGAAATTTCAAGATGTACCCAAATTCGTAAAGATGTTGGCTCACTTGGCTAAGTACACCAAAGCTCTGATGACCGATTGGCAAGAACAAGACATGTTGTCATGTGTATTTTGAGTTTTTTTTGCTCTTTTTTTGGCACGTCGTCCTTATATTCTATCAAAAAAATAAAAATTGTCCTCGTATTAGTATTTTGGGTTTATTTCATTATGTGTTACGTTATGAGAGAGATATTATGTAAAATATTCTTGGTTACAAACAATAATATTTTTTTGAAACAGTCTATCAAAGTATTTTGAAAAAGAGAGTTGTGCTATGATGGTCATAGTTGTCTGAACTTTATTTCATCATTGTTCACCAGGCATGACCTTGAACATCTTCATAAGAATAAGAAATTAAAAAAATATTGAAAACGTTGGGTGACAAATTGTCCATGAATTATTGTATTCCGTGACTTCGTAATACTACTCATTGCTTGAAATTGGCCTTTCCTTTTCTATTTTTCTTTTTATTACAAAGGTTAGGTTATCTTTACATTTGGAGTTTGGTAGATGAAGTTGAGATTCCCTTAAAGTCTTTAACATTATTGTGGCTCTTAGAGAAACACTTTAGTAGGGCAACTTGATCATGTGAACGATGATATCACTCTCATAAAAGCAATGGTTCTCTCTTGTATTTTAATCTCATTCAACTCCAGCTATTATGACCTAGTGTAAAAGTTGCCCTAATCAAGCAGCTTTATTGAAGTCTCTCCTTAGCATAGGGAAGACCTCAAACTACCATCCTATCATGATTCTCTCAGGAAAGCGTTGGATCTTTCTTGTATTAATCTCATTCAACTCCCACGAAAATTTAGCTCAATATGAGAGTTGTCCTAATCATGTAGCGTATTGAAGTTTCTCTCACGTAGGTGAGGTTTCAAACCACCATCCTATCCCAATTGCAGCATGATTTCATTGCTTGTGGCAAAACCATGACCATTTAGCGTGCTTATTCGAGATTTATAGTTCATGTTATTGAGCATAAAACAGTGGACTTCAAGAGGACTTGCCCTGAGTTTTGGCTAGAACTTGCTGGTGTTTGGGATGTTACCCATCCTTGTTACCGAAAAACGAACGAAAATAATAACGAGAAACGGAACGATGTAAGAATTCCGGGATTACAAACACGATGTATCGACAGACATTGTTCTTGAGGTTCCCTAGGTAAAAAATATTCATCCAAAGAACACAAATTAAACTGGGAACAAAATAGTTTTGATCAATCTAAACCCATCTTATTAATCAAATAGCCCTAATCATACAAATGAAGTGACCACCCAGAGAAAAGCTAAAAAGTGGTACTCCCTCTACAAAATAGTTTACGAACCCCAGTACAGGTGGAACAGACGATGGGAAGAAAAGAAGTCATATCCTTCCGTAATTCGACTGTTTTTGTATGGTATAACAAGGCTGGGACCAAAGACTTTTCAGGGTTTTGCGAACATCAATTGTGTTAAAGAAGAGAAATCATAATCTTTTCCTGATTGTGCAGAAGTTGAAGATGATACTGGAGATGGTGATTGAGTCTTCTTCGCCCCATCGTTTGTCACGCCATTAACTGGGTTAACTTGGGCCATACCGTAAAAGCTACAAAATAGAAGCAGTAGTATGGATGAAAGAAAATACTAGGGGTAAAACGTTTCATTCATTAATATTAGCTGTATAGAATCCAATTAGAAACTCCGAAAACCTTTGGGAACCAGATAAGAGGTGTGTTATTATGCTAATGAAGCAAAACTAAATGTAACATTAGCACGAAATGATGAATATTTGATGCATTACATCCCCATTTCTCCAGTGTAAGCTCGTCTAATTGGTAAACTAACTTAAGCCCATATGTTTTAAGAACAGTGCTTGCAAAGAGACGGATTCATTATATTCCACAAAGAAAAGGTACGGCCTTAGATTCATAACGGAAATTGAGAAAAAAAAAAATCATGGTAAATCTTCTTAAGGTTTTACGCTCAATGTTCACATCATGCTCACTTCCTGTCAGTGTTGGTTTTGGGGGGTTGGGTTTGACATGGCAGTCAATGATTCACCACCAATTCAGTTCAAGAAGGAGCCTATTGCATAACAGCAGCAATCAAGGTTGTGAAACATGAACCACAAGGACCAATATGAGCTCAATTTGCTTTGGAATTTTTTTCATTTGCTAACCATTTACACACCCAAATAACAGAGAGAAAATCCCATCACAAATGTGCCAACTAAAACTAGGACAGGCAGAGATTTATGACATACCTAGATGCTGAATACGGAACAGAGGTCCCCAGTGGATGTGCCTGCCCCATGGTCTTTGTCTGACTCTGACTCAAAAGGAAATATACACAATGAGAATGTCACTCAACGTTGATGAATGAAAAAACTATACCGTAATGAAGCCTTATTGTGGACTCTACCTGTGGAACTTTCTGTAGATCAGCCTGCCCATCTACAGGCATCACCAATCCAGGATATTGGTAGCCAACGTTTGACCAACCTTGGGAAGGTAAATTGCTTCCGTTGGACACAGGTTGTTGAATAATACCAGGAAACTTTTGATCTGTGCCAGATTTAGCTGCAGCCATGAGAAGAGACTGGTGCTGAGCCAGCATTGCTAGTTGCTGCTGATGCATTGAGAAGGGTGACACCATGTTCGACTGCAGATATTCAAATCTTTAAATAATATAACGTGCATTTACAAACGATGTTATGCAACGGAACAAGAAAACGATAATTCGATTTAGTCAAAACCAAAGTAATTTTTAAAAAGATTATTTTACTTAATTTTGTAAGGCTTAATTTTAAATTAAATAAATCAACCTTGTACAAAATTTATAATGGATTATGGGGCAAAAGCCAGATCCATTTTTGTCCAACTAACAAAAAGAATTTATCAAACCATTTAAATATTCTCCAAACAATAATTCGGATTCTCATGATAATCCAGCACATACCTTCTCAAAAAGACTCATAATGTCAGTTTTTACGTCTTTCTGGGGTTTCCCTGAAACAGGTGTTAACGAAGGTGCATCTTTAAATAGATCCTCAATTCCTGATGAAGATTTGACATTGTTCTCTGCTGCATTTGATGGACCAGTTTTCTCAGCTGTCGATGCCTTTTCAGCAGCTGCAGATAAAGGCAACCATATCTCTTAACCCCCAGAATCAAACTTATATAGGATGATCCCAGTAAAGGAAAACGTGTTGGAATGATGGGAGGGGAGTAAAGACATACACTGAAAACCAGCCCAATCATTATCCTCAGCTGATGCTACATCCGATCCATTCTCACTTGGACCATCCACTGAAAGCATGTTGAAAAGGTCAGTAGCATAATCAACTTTTGGAGGGGCAGTAGGAGCAGCATCAACAGCATGCTTTGTTGCTTCAGCTGGCTCAACAGCTGGTTCTATTTTCTGAACATCTTGTGGTCTTGAGTCATGTACAAACTGTCAAAATTTGGATACACCATGACAAAACTTTTAGGTCTACTACTCTTTCTAAAATAAACGAGGTAACAAATACTATGGAAAAAAAAAAAGGAAATGGGCCAATAAAATCAAAGTATGCAATTTTTTTTACAGGACTTGAAACATACTGAGAGAAGAAATAAAAAAAAAAAAAAGACAAAGCGCATCAATCAATACACTTTAAATGGAAAAGGTCAAACCAAAAGGAACCAAGCAACAAGCAAATTAAAAATGACCATGTAAAACATCCCACCCGAAGAGATAGCAGCTTCACAATCCAAGTTTAGAATGAAGAAAATGACATTTTCTGAATTCAGATGACACCGAACTCAAAACAGCACAAAGAAGGAAAAGGCGGTTGATACTGTCAATTGCTCCTTTGCACATGGGACACCATTGAAGGGAAAACAACCTTTCATTAATATAGGTACTTTAGCCTTCCATAGTAAGCAAGGGATAAAAATCATGGACAGTGTGATCTACACAAAAAGGTGACTGAACTCCAAGCATGGCCATCCAGGCTATTCTTCAAGGGGAAAGGGATATGGTCTCAATCGAAAAGAAGAGCAGAAATCTGGACAATTTCCTGATCTCTCAGATTCCCAAAGAAATTGAAGTTCCACCACAAAAGATGAAGCAGAGGAAGCACCGAACTAGCTATTAATGCATTATGAGACAAGGGAAGCTAGTATGATCAGGGGAAAGGAACGCAGAAAGAGGAATCCTCATACCAGAAATCCTTCCAGAAATGAATCTTCTCCCTACTACATGATGTGGAACAAAGGTTAAAAAATAACTCAACAAGTCCCTGAGAAACGTCTCTCTATGACACCTACTTGAACCTCTACGCTCTAATTACCACTTTAGTGACCCACCAATATTCACACTCTGGGTTACCAAATGCCAAAGGCAATTCAATATTTCTATGACACCATTGATACTTAATTTTTGCAAGCTTTCTGCATGCCAGCAACGGAATGATGCATTATCTCCAACATATCACATGTTTTTGTCCATTCTTGCTACCAATTATCAAACGCAAGTTCGTTCAACAATGCTCTTTTCTTTTAAAGGAAGATGATTTCCATGAAAACATGGTAACATGGTAGCACACCCCTTAAATAAAACTTTCCATTTTTAATTTTACTATTTCCCTTTCTTTTGTCATGTTTGTTGCTTTACTAACTCTCTTACTGTTGACCAAAAAAAAAAAACTCTCTTACTAAGAATATCTGCCCATCATATATTTTCTTGTTTCTTAAACAATACAGTTCATGCAAAACAATTGGTAGATCTGACATAAAAATCATTAACACTGAGTTTGTCAACAAGAACCCCAATCTACAATAAGAAATCAATCAGGCGCAACAACATGAAAACAAACAGAAAAAACATAAGCTTACAGGGAAACACCATATTAAATACCTGTTCAGGACCTTTCGGAGGAACAGGAAGACTAATTCTTGCAGCAGGAACACTTTCTTTTGTACGAGTCGCTAGAATGTTCTTCCTTTCCTCAACCTTCTTTTCAGAATTTCCAACATAACCATGCCCACTTTTTTCTGCAGGTTGAGGCCAATGTAAGTTAGTCCTTTCTTCCCACACTTTAGAAGGTGGCTTTGGTTGTCCGTCCCTAGGAACCCATCTCTTATCTTCATACCTGAAAAGAATGCCAGAAGCAGTTTTAAAGAGTTTACCTAAATCATAATAAAAACTAATGATAGACAATAACTGTATCTCGACAAATAGATGCTAGTTCTAAGGGGTACCGCCAGACACGCACTTTGCACGAATAAAATTCTCAATTCCAACTCTGTCATAGTTTGGAGGTAGTTCTGCTTCCCAGTAACTATTTGACTTCTCATTTCCCATTGCTGTATAAAATCAAACAATCTTTCTAAACATAAGAAAATTGACATCAATCAACAGAGAAACAAACTAGAAGCCCAGGTCCTAAGACCAACTTACATTGAATAAAAGCAACCTGCTCTGGAAGCCATGTGTCCAAAGTAGCAGACCGCACCTGCAGAAAAAGTCAATAACACTCAAATCAGCGCATTACAACTGTACTACATGGGTTGTTCTTGGATTTTATATCAAATTCTGTTAATTTAAAAAATTAGTTGTTTACCGTTCTACCCTCATGATATTAAATTATCGTTTATTAGAAATCTTATTAACCAAGGGGATTTTATGGGTTTTTTACGGTTTTTTGGAGCCTGTCCATGTAAATATATGGATAAGAATGGAAGGCATGAAAAGACACAACAGTGCCGTTTGCCACCAACAAGGGGCAGTTAATGAAATCCATTTTCAGGATATTTTTCAAAAACCAAGACCTAATGTTAGGTTTATTCACCCGTTATTATAATTTGCTGGACCTTAATATTACTGTCAACAAAAATTCGAAGAGGCATACCAAGAGAAATGTAAACGGCCCTAACAATTAGTTCACCAAGTATTCTTGTCATGAGCCACATAAAAGATGAAAATCACCTTCGATATGTGTACGCCAAGACTTCTGTGGATCCCAGAACATTGCATGCATATAAAGATACCTAAATTCACGCTAGCCCATCTTGGACCCCTGTGAAGAAGACAATTCATCATTTAAAATTGATATTATACGTTCACCAATTTAGAAAGCTTATTACAACACTTGTTATGCGTGGATTAAGATGCATGGCTGTTATGACTTAAATCATTTTTCATTCTCAATGCTTGGTTATTCAGTATCATGAAATGCAAATCATCTCTTTTGAATGCTTACGTACTTAGCTTTGCAGTCAGCACATTCCCTATTCTCTGGCAATTTAAGAAGTCCTTCCAGTATCTGCACATCATAAAACAAATATGCGAAAATTATAAATACATGCAACCACTGAATATAATAATAAAAAGAAAGTGTAACTATTTAAAGAGAGACCAATGACTAGTCGCACAAATAGCGCACTGGGTGATTTAACACTCAGTAGGATGACAATCATAATGTTGCAAACGATCTGCAACAGCTTACATGGAATGTCAATAAGGCAAATTCGATTTTCATTTTTATAAAAGAAATCAAAGCAGAAAATGATTTGGAAATCACACATAAACAGAATTGACAATAAATGCTTCGAAAGGATCTTCTTCAAGAATAATTTCTCCAAGCTTCAAAATTCACATATTAACAAATAACAGCATACACGGATAATTACAGATAACTGTTAAAGCACAAATGCAAACTACCATTATTGCCCATTTCGATAGTTCATCATCTAAACCTATGACCAAATTTCATACACATAGGAAAAACAGTAGAGGTACTGGTGAATCGAAACAAATTCAGATAAATCGAATCATGACCCATAACTATAGATCAAATCTCATCAAATCCAGTCAAATCTACCACTTCAATATTGCAATTCATATCCACGAATCCAAATTGAAATGTACAAATCTAATCAAATCCAATCAAACTCCAACCATGCACAGATTCTCAAACGTTTTCCCCTCAATTCTCAGCAACCAAACAAAAGGGATAATTACACCCAAAAACAGAAATCCAATTCCACAATTCATAGTCGAGGATCCGAAACAATTTGCACGGAAATGAACAGGATTGGGGGGCCGGGGGGGGCAAATTCGAAATTCTGGGTGCATAAATTGTAATTTCCAAAATTTGAAAACGGGAAAAAAAAAACGAGACCTTTCTGTGCTTGGCGTTGAGCTCCTTGGTGACGCTGGCCTTCTCGTTCATGGTGAGGCGACCGTACAGCAGCAAAACTAGCAGACGCGAGGAAAGACGAAGAAGAAAAAGCAGCTGCAGCTCCGCGGGCGGACGAAGGTCAAATTGGTCTTTTTGCGCTCTTTCTCCCTCTCCTTTCTCTCTCTGGATTATTATGCGACCACCAAAGAGAAATGAAAGTAAGAGAGGAGAGAGGTCGAAGCAGATTCGCTCTCGACTTTTATTTTTGAGTCTTTGCTATTAACTCCCCCTGTTTTTTCCCTGTTCACATTTTTTTTTTCCCCCCCTTTCATTTTTAAGGAAAAGGATCCTTTTTCTAGAGATTTTTCCGTGATCGTGTCCGTTTATCGTACATCGTGCGGTTAGAAATTATTTGAAATTTAAAATTTAAAATGAAATATAAATAATACCTAATAAAAATTGACCGCACGATGTACGATGAAATGACACGATCACAGGATCCTCCTGATTTTCCCATTTTTAAGACCCAAAATCACATACTAGGAGTGGAGGAGACGTCAAGCTCAACCGAACCGATCAAACCGACCGGTTTGAACCGTTTTGAATGGTTTGATTTAATTTTGAATAAGAAATTCGATTGGTTAGAAATCATTTAATTTTGAATAAGAAATTCGATTGGTCATAAATCAAATCAATTTATAGTGATATGATCAAATTTGATTTTATATTATTGTAAACTAGTCTAAACCGAACTGACATTTAAAAATGTGTGTGTGATAAGTCAAGTAATATTTTTAAGAATTAATTTGGTTCCTCATTAGCTGAGGAGGAGTTCCTCCTTGATTAACTTTGGGGGGCTGATTCAAGAAACTTCAAGTTTATGATTGAAACTGTTAATATTATAAACCATTCTATAAGGATATCTCTGCAAAAAAATCGATAAAATATGAAATCATATAATCCTACAAAAAAAATGCACAAATTCAGTAAAAACATTATCAACCATCTATTTATTTATTATCATTGATTAAACAACATTGATTTTAACTATTTTTTTTGGAAATTTTTACAAAATGATTTTAATATAAACGATTTTAATTATAAATACAAAATAAACTGAAGAGGAACTCTTCCTCAATCTTAAAAATTAGAACATTTCCAAATGAATATCACAAACACAAAGTATGTATCAGAAATAATAGTGGAAAAAAAATTAGTGTTTTCTAACCGCCAATTCTTATGTAGCCTGACATGGAGAACAAAATTTTATTATTTCTATTAAAAGTACTTAATGTAAATCAGGTGGAGAACAAAATTTTAAAAAATATTAATAAATGGCTTCATTATTTTTATTATTGTTTTTGTTCTGAAAATATTTATTACAATTATAAAATGTAATTAATGTAAATTAGGTGAGAACAAAACTTTAAAAAATATCAAAAGTGCCGCATGGGCTTTTAAATTTAAATTTTGTATTTAAAATTTGACATCTACTTTACAATGCTCTTAGACTTGCTAACTATTTTGATAACATTTTCTTGAACCTAACACGTAGAAGCGTTGTTGGCTGCTCATGAAGGTGTGACAATGGCGGTGTCATGTGATTTTCTAAATTTCAATTTGAGAGGGATTCACTCTACATCATCTCAACTCTTCGAAGCTCTTCTACTAATCAACAATCAAATTTTCTATATTGCTTACTAGGGGAGGTATTGGTATGATTACCGTACCAAAACTCATGTACCAATTACCATACAAAACTTTTGGTATGACAAAATCTATTACCATTATCGTGCTAAACTTTCGGCATACTGAATTTCGGCATGCCAAATAGTTCGGTTGGTATGGTATGGTAATGGTAATTTGATTTTTTTTTTCAACCCAATTCAAGATCCAAACATGTTTTGACCACTCCCTTTGGGTTTCTAAAACTTTTTTATATAATTATGAGAATTTTATAGAGATTCATTTAAGAAACAAGAAGTAAATAGATGGAAGAATTGTTGAAAGAACCCAATATTTCTAAAAAAAGTAGTACAAAGATTATTAAATTTCATATCTATATTCTTTAAAATTGTACAAAAATTAACTTAATAGACGAAGCCAGAGAGAAAGACATCCCAATTTGATGAAGGAGAAGATGAGATGTACTTTGGAGAGAGAGTCGCTGGAAATGGAGCAACAAATATAAAGTAGGTGGCTAGATGAGTGAAAAGATGAAAAGTTGCAGTGTAAGAAGGCTTAGGTTTTTTTAATTGAGAAAGTGGAGGTTAAAGGGTGAGATAATTGGATAAATGACTAGGAAAAAAATATAAAGTGCATATATAATGATAATAATACCTAATTATATAGAAAAGAATAAATAAATGATATAATATTAATAGTAGTAGTACGGTACGGTATACCACTGGTAATGATTTTAAATACCATTACTGTACCAAAAATGTATAGTACGGTATAAATACTGTACCATTACCAATGGTACAAATTTTTTGCCACAATTTTGATATGGTACGATTGCTATAGTAATTTGGCAAAAAATTCCACCTCTATTGCTAACATATTTTCTAATCAAGATAAGTCTCATGTACGATAAGAATATGGTCAATTTTCTATTTTGAAATAACATTACTGAATTTGCAAATGCTTTAGCTTAAACAAGTTATATCCCTAGTAAAAATGGTAAAACAATACATAATTCCACATTAGCACATTGTATCATTGTTTCCACTTTGTTGGATGGTAATGTTGATGTGAAAGCTAGAAATGACATAAGATGGTGTGAAGCTTTTGGCTCCTCTAGCAAGTACTAGTCTAGAATAAAAAAAATATGTGGTCGGTATTGGCTTAAATTATGAAATTAAGTCCACCATATCAGATCGCATTTCTCAATATTAATTTAGTCATACAATAAAAGTGATTTGATTTGAAAAATCAAGGTGAGAATAAAAATATAAAGATCTATTCGGTATCGTATTAAAAAAAAATTATAATTTCTTAAGAACATCTTTTAAGAACATTTTTTTTTAAATTAAAAAATTTGTTTGATATGAGATTTAAAATTATTTTTAAATTTTAATAATTAAAAAAACAAATATGTCTACTACAACTCCTCGTGAATTTGCAAATTACTACTAAATTTAATTGGCTAGACATAGAAATTCAAAGGGAGGATCGAAAGAGCGAGAAATGAGAGAGAAATGGGAGAAAGAGAACAGGATGGTAGGAGAGAGAACAAAATTGTGGTTTGATATTGGCTCAAATTATGAAATTAAGGTCATTTCCAACCGAAAGGTCCAAAGGGTCGAAAATAACCCGAAAATCGTCTTCAACCGAGGGTTAGGATAGATGACTCGTGGGCCCCATGGAATCTGAAAGGCCCAAAGCGTTGGACGCATGCAGGCAACCAGCCAACTCGGGCTGGCCAGAAGATTAGAGCAATCTTGTTGATTATAACCGACAAAGTATATTTAATATAAAATATATTCTTGTCGGTTATAATCGACAAGATTGCTTAAAGAAAATTTTGAATCCAACGACTAGCCGACGTCAGCTAGCTGTTATTTTTGAATTTTTTTTTTATTTTTTATTTTTTACATTTTTTGTCACATTCCCGTCCAGGCGGGACCACTTCATAGGCCCAACTCCACCGTAGCACGATATTGTCCACTTTGGGCCCCAACCACGTCCTCACAGTTTTGTTTTTGGGAACTCACACGAGAATTTCCCGATGGATCACCCATCCTAGGAATGCTCTCGCGTGCTACTCGCTTAACTTTGAAGTTCTCATGGAACCCAAACCCAGTGAGCTTCCAAAAGGCCTCGTGCTAGGTAGGGATGAGAATATACATTTAAGGATCACTCCCCTGGGGCGATGTAGGATGTCACATTTTTATTTATTTATTTTTATTTACAAATTTTTTTTCATATAACTTATATTTTACAAAATTTGTTTCATTTTTTTTAAATTCTATTTTTTTCATATAAATTCTGAAGCCATTATGTAACATTAAATCAAATTAAGTAACATGAAACAACATTAAACAATATGAAACAACATTAAATAACATTAACCAACATAAAAATTATACAACAAAAATTTAAGCTATAGTTTTTTACATTTAAGTTGTTGTAGTTTTTAAATTTAAATAATAAATTATGTTTGGCCTTATGACCCTTTGGCCCTCGGTTGGACATGGAAGCAAATATAACCCTGAACCGTTCATTAAAATATTAATATCTTAAATGGCCAGAGGGCTAAAACGAGCCCTCTAGCCAGCCCTGGGTTGGAGATGGCCTAAGGTCCAGAGGGCCAAAAACAGTCTAAAAAACGTCTCCAACCAAGGGCTAGGCCAAAAGGCTCTGGTATCTGAGAGGGCCCCACGGAATCCCAAAGGGCTAAAGGGCTAGAAGGTTGGCCACTTCCGGCCAGCCAGCCAACCCCGGGTCGGCCATCTGTTTTTTGCTTATGTTTGTATTACTAATATAAATGTATTACTGTCGGTTTTAATCGACAAGATTGATTTGAAATTTTTTTTTTTACAGTTTTATTATTTTTTTTATTTACGAAAATTTTCCTATAACTTCTATTTTTCAATTTTTTTAAGTTCTATTTTTTTCCTATAACTTTCATTTTACAAAATTTGTAGTTTTAACAACATTTAACAAATTATTAAAAAACATTTCTAGTTTTTCATATTTGTTAAAAAAAAACATTTAGCAACATGAAACTTATACAACATTTAAGTTGTAGTTTTTAAATAATAAATTATGTTTGGCCCTATGGCCCTCGGTTGGAGATGGTTTTTTGTGATAGGGCTAAAATGAGCTTTCTGGCCCTTGGCTCTCGGTTGGAGACGGAAGCAAATATGGCCTTGTGACTGTTCATTAAAATATTAATATCTTAGAGAATCTTGGAGAACCAGAGGGCTAAAATGAGTCCTCTAGCCAGCCATCGGTTAGAGATGGCCTAAGACCATTGTATTTTTCGTAAACATACGATATTATCTATATTAAAAGGTAGGAGAGTGAGCTAAGCCTTTCAATGGATTAGTAATAATATGGTTCAAATTCGCTTTTGGTAATAATATAACTTAAGACCTCTCACTTACAAATAAAAAATAATATCATTAGACCGTAGTACTAAGTGGCAAAATCATCATATTATGTGATCGTTGCCGGTATTAATCTAATCATACAATAAAAGTGATTTGATTTGAAAAAGGTGAGAAGAAAAGCATAATTCATCCTTTCAAGGTGGCTTCCAAGTTAGTGGAATTGGTTGGGTAGTAGCAGACAATGCTTGCTGTGCGGTTCACCCAACTTCAACATAACTAAACAAGCAATAACAGCTCCACAATAACTACTACTTCTTTATTGTTTTGGACAAACAAAAAAAAAATGGTAAAACTAAGAGATCCGATGGTATAAGATTCTCGAAAATGAGAAGCGATTTTCGTAGTACTTTTTTTATGGGCAATTTTTTTGTTCTTTCTAGTTTTTGAATTTAATACCAAGTGATAGATTGTCTTAGTAGATAGATCGTTATTTTCAACCCATTACGTTTTAGTCCCAATCTTCTTTATTTTCTTAATTTAGTTTAAAGTAGTAATATCGCTTGTAATTAAAAAAAAAACTATTGAATTGACTAACTTAAACGAAATAAAAAAAGATGTGCAGAAGACAATGAGAGTGTGAATGTGACTTAACCACTACCCAAACCTATGAATGAGAATGGGAAAGTGAAATTGTTGGCAGACAAAACAATTTAACAAATCAATTTGCAAATGTCAATTGTTATTTGGGGGGAGCTGGTTTGAGTCTTGCAGGTAATGAGTTGTGTTGAGTGATCACAAAAGGTGGAAGAATTATTTAGTGGGAATCCATCCCACTTAATAAAGTCGGAATTATCAAACATTTTGGGGCTGACCATGTAACTAGTTATTTTTATTGGGTTTGGATCGGTTTCAACCCGATCTGTTAAGTTAATAGGTCACTTAAACTCAACCTGTTAACAAACTTATTTCATAAAAAAATTTTGCATTTCATTTCAACTTACATTTTAACCCAATGCTCATATTAGAACGAGAGTAGCCTTTTAGCAGGGAAAGGGATTCTCTCCGTTTCCCTTCCATCAAATCCATCCAATCCACCCAATCACCTAATCCGGCTATTTGAAATTTGATTCAACGGCTAAAGTTATTACAACTTTTAAAGAGGCCCTTTGTTTGTAACCGTTAGATCGAATTTCAAGAACCCAAATTGATTGATTGGGTGGATTTGATGGAAGGAATCTAGAGAGAATCCCTTTCCTTTTACCAGGTGCCAATAGGTTAGCATTATGGTTAGTTCCATGGAACACAGTACCAGGTAGTTTGATGTCATCTTCAAAATAATTCTGTTATCTCTCCCCAACAATCTATTTTTATAACTTGGTTGTCTGATTTCTCCAATTCAAATAAAATCAAGTGTTCTTTCAAAATATCTAAAAACGTTTTTAAAGAAGATATTTTTAAATTCCCAAAATAATTAGTGCTTTATTTCAAGAATATTCCGTTGTGTGCTTCTTGTAAATGCACTATAATTTTTCTTTTAAAGTTATTTTTTATCAAAAATTATTTCCAAAATCATTTTCAACCAAAAAAAAAAAAAAAAAAACTCTCAAACATTTTAATTTAACTTCCAAACCAGCCCGCAATATCTCCACCGCTTCTTCTTCCCCAGCGCGAAATTGCTTCTAACGAGGAATCTATAACTACAAAAAGTCTGTAAGTCCCCCTTTGTTGTAGGGTTTTACGTTTTCTTCTCTTTGTCCTACATCTTTTTCCAAATCGCGGTCTTGTTTGGTTGCCGAGAAAATGAGCGAAATACTATTGGACAAACAGTGAGATGTTGGGGTTTTGCATTTGAGTTTTCAATTTTGTGACTCCGCCCAAAACCCTACCTTTGATTTCCAAATAATAACAATTTCGAGGTTTTCTTGAAAGTTGATCCTTGTAAGGCCAGGAGTACGCTTGATGTGACTACGGAAGATGGCGGCGGCGCTCAACCGGAAGCTCCATGGAAGCAAACAGGGCCTGGGGAGAAGGAGGCGCCAGTGCCCGAACAAGTGAAGAGAATGCAGAAGCTTTCTGCACACAGCACTTACGTCACTCACCGGTTGCGGGTTCTCAACAAAATTCTCCAGCTTTTGTCCATTCAGGTGCACAAACGTCGAATTTTCAGTTTACTGTATAAAGCGTAGTTTAACCATTAACTCTCGCCTGCTACCCAATGGATTTAAACTATTATGTTCAGAAATTTCCATTTAAAACTGCAATTTAATTTAAACACGGCCATAGTTCGGAACAGAACTTGTCCCACATCGACCACGGACAGATAAACATAACCCTTTATATAGATTGTGCATGGAGCTCCCATCGCCGAGCTTACTAACGAAAGCTTATAACCCAAAGTGGGGGCAACAAGATGTTGGGACGCTGGTTCAGTCTCAGCGGGTTGGGTCTGTCGTGGCTCTATTCTGGCCCGCCCATTCCAAGCTGGGAGTTGGGCTGTGTGGTTTGGGCGAAGGCTCAGGCTTCATGGTTCCTAGAGCGGAGGGCACCGCGTAAGGCTGGCTTCACAGAGCAACGATTACCTCCCGCTCTCGGCAGTGGAAGGATAACGGGTCGGTGCCATCCGGATCCACTATGGCCCGCCGGACTGTTCCAATTGAACCAACATCTTTTTTGCTTTCATTAGGTTAGTTTTTGTTTTAATTCGAATGTTTTAATTCCAGGAACCGGATCCCCTCCTGAGCATAGGGTGAAAATCCTCCTGACTTGGCTATCTGAGCCTTTAAAATTTGATCCAACGGCTACAATAATTATAACTTTTAATGGATCTCCTTGTTTGTAGCCGTTTGATCAAAATTCAAGGATCCAGATAACCCGGTCAGGAGGATCCCCACCCTATGCTTAGGAGGGGATCCGGTTCCTGGAATTAGATGCTGTAATTATCTTAGTTGGAAGACATGATCATGTTACGACCTTCCTTACCTTTTCGGATCACTTAATACTGTGTCCATATGTGCTATACCAATTATATTTTATATTTGTGTTTATGAGAAGACACGAGTTTGGGTCTTTTCCAGGACACTGAAGATTGTACGTTTTTGGCACACTAATAACATCTTACTCTTGTGACTATCTTTTGTATGCGTCTCTCTATAATTTTTTTTTTTTTTTTTTTTTTGTGAACCAAGCTTGTAATATTCTTTTTGTTGCTCTGGTATCCTTGCCTCTTGACATGGTGGAAGTGTATGTTTTTGTGATGTAGAAATATGTGTATGGATGCAATTCCTTTGGAGTTAATGACTTGGAGCATTCCTTGGTTTCATATGGATGCTACTTTCTGAAAGCAGAATCAGCATGAACTTGGACCTCATTTCTTGAAGTCCCCGATTTTGGTAACTTCATTGTCGGTTTTTCTGTGTTTCTCATAATATTCATCCATTGAGACTGTTCATCAAGGAGGTTTTTTTATTTGTTCTGTGTAGTGGGAGAGCCAGGATTAAATCACAATGTGGGCACAATAAGAAACTCAATAAGTTCTCCAGGAAATATTAAAATGGAACATAAGTTATTCCATTTATTCAGTTTGTGTATGAGACCTTTCTCCCATGGCTTTATAGCTGGCTTTGCCTTGGGAATGAACCAGCGGTCAAGAAAGCTTCATACAGGGGTTATGCTTGGCTGATCGGTAAGGGATTTTACTTTGCTGGGTTTGGATTGATTATGGGGTCGGGACTATTATTGGTTGTGTGAAAATAAGAGCTTATTGGGGTCACTTGCATCCGTTGACCCCAATTCGACTCCACTACTGGTTATGTGAATGTGAAGAGTTGTACTTTAAGTATCTTCATATCTTAAACCATGCTTTATTTTTGTTTGTTTGGGTCTTACGATTGTGTTTTTCTTAAGCCTCAAGTTGCAGTGCTACTTAGTACTACAGTTTAATAGTATTCATTTTCACTTGTGTAAGCAACAGCCACTAAAAAAGAGGAGGCAGCCACGACAGAAGGGAGAAAAAGGAAGGACCAGAGCACCGTTCTGCAATTCGTCATTGAAGAGTTTCTTCTTCTCCTTTTACTTTCTGTTTTGTTTGTCTTTGCTGCCCATTTACATTATGAGTAACTAAATTTCATAGTTGGGACTTCGTTGAAGTCTAATCATGTTTCCTTGAGAATTTTCGATACATCTTGTTATAAGACAATTTGTTGATGCTTTAGTGATAAATTCTTGTTTTAATTCCAATCTTATTGAGTTATTTTATGATTGATCATCATAGAATAGCTTTGTAATTGAGTTTGTTACATAGGTAAATTTGGATGATCGATTCTTGTACCTATGCCGAGTGACAAGAGAACTAGTTACGGTTCTTGGAATTAATTATCACGAATAACCGGAATAGATACCATGTTCTAGGATTCGTGTGTTTGTCGATTTCCATTGTATTATGCTTTCTTGGAGTGCAATTAAATAGATACCATGCGAAATACTTCGAGAATGAAAGGAGTTAGTGTAGACGCCCATGCCTAATTTGTTGTTTAGGGAAATCAATAGCTTAAAGAGTAAATACCATGCCTTTAGGTAGACAAACGTAAAGCATAAAAAATCTGTTTTATATGATAGTATGTATCAGTTGCTTTGGCGAAAAAAGTTAGAGATGAAAGTCAAAGTCCTAACCGTTCAAACATCGTTTTCAAAACTCTTATTGCCAATTACTTTTATTTACCTACGTTGTTTAAATTGTGCTTTTATAGTTAAACTTAAGAAATTATTTATATACTAAAATCCAGTGGAAAAGTACTGTTTATCAACAGTAAAATGGTGGAATCGCCCCCAATCAGCTTTCCTTGACCCGTTGTTTTTCCATCTTGGCACAGTGAAATTACGCATTTGTCCGCGTTGGCCACGAGTCCATCATCGTGTGAAACCTCTACTTTGGCTGCAGTTTCTCGATTTGTCCATCCGTTTCAGTTCTCCCTTTCGAAAATCTCTGCTTCCGTTGCTCTCAACTTGCCTTCTGTCACTGTCAAACGCCGGATAAGCTATCGACCACCCGCTCTCTACCTTCTTCTTCTTCTTTCGCTTCTCCCTGTGCAAATCTGAGAGACGCCTACCTTTGCTTTCCAAATAATAACAATTTCGAGGTTTTCTGGAAAGTTGGCCGGAAGCTCCATGGAAGCAAACAGGGCATGGGGAGAAGGAGGCGCCAGTGCACGAACAAGTGAAGAGAATGCAGAAGCTGCCTGCACACAGCACTTACGTCACTCACCGGTTGCGGGTTCTCAACAAAATTCTCCAGCTTTTGTCCATTCAGGTGCACAAACGTCGAATTTTCAGTTTACTGTATAAAGCGTAGTTTAACCATTAACTCTCGCCCGCTACCCAATGGATTTAAACTATTATGTTCAGAAATTTCCATTTAAAACTGCAATTTAATTTGAACACGGTCATAGTTCAGAACAGAATTTGTCCCACATCGACCACGGACAGATAAACATAACCCTTTATATAGATTGTGCATGTAGGTCCCATCGCCGAGCTTACTAACGAAAGCTTATAACCCAAGTGGGGGCAACAAGATGTTGGGACGCTGGTTCAGTCTCAGCGGGTCGGATCCGTCGTGGCTCTCTTCTGGTCCGCCCATTCCAAGCTGGGAGTTGGGCTGTGTGGCTTGAGCGAAGGCTCAGGCTCCACGGTTCCTAGAGTGGAGGGCACCGCGTAAGGCTGGCTTCACAGAGCAACGATTACCTCCCGCTCTCGGCAGTGGAAGGATAACGGGTCGGTGCCACCCGGATCCACTATGTCCCGCTGGACTGTTCCAATTGAACCAACATTTTTTTTGCTTTTCATTAGGGTAGTTTTTGTTTTAATTCGAATGTTTTAATTTATTTATTTTTAACGGAGGGATTTGAATTTCCTTTGCTCAATTTGGTATTCTAGATGATCGACACGACATGGAAACTAAAATTCCAAATTGCCTAGCTACCTAATTTATTTATTTATGGTTGTCTATTGGGCTCTTAATTTACTAATTTTTTTGGTTAATGAAATATGGAATGTTGTTTTTTGTATATGATTCTGTTTAAAATTAGAAGAGAAATGTTGTGTTGGGGTTGGTTTTTGCTGGGCTGTCTATCTGAACTAAACCTTTCTCGGCAGTGATACTGTAATTATCTTAGTTGGAAGACATGATCATGTTACGACCTTCCTTGCCTTTTCGGATCACTTAATACTGTGCCCATATATGCTATACCAATGTACGTTTTTGGCACACTAATAACATCTTACTCTTGTAATATCCTTGCCTCTTGACGTGGTGCTAGTGTATGTTTTTGTGATGTAGAAATCTGTGTATGGTAGTGATCCTGGAGATTATATCATCAACTTGGCATTCCATTTGCCACTTTGGAGTTAATGACTTGGAGCATTCCTTGGTTTCATATGGATGCAATTCTACGAAAGCAGAATCGGCATGATGAACTTTGGACCTCTTTTCTTGACGTCCCCGAGTTCGGTAACTTCATTGTCGGTTTTTCTGTGTTTCTCATAATATTCATCTTGTTACTTCATCCATTGAGACTGTTCATCATCAAGGAGTTGATGAGAAAGGATTTGAACTCATTTTTTGTTTGTTTTTGTTGTGTGATTCTGAAGAACTGTACTTTAGAGTTCTTTACATCTTAAACCAAGCTTTATTTTTTGTTTGTTCGGGACTCTTACGATTGTGTATTTCTGCTGTCGTTTTGAAAACGAAAAATGGCTTAAAGTAATAGTGCAGGGGTTTGTGTGTTCGAGTTGTATTCCCTTAAAATCGCTTGTATAAAACTATATGCAACAAGAAAAAACTGTTTTTCATATTAATTGAGAGACTAACTTTGTGGTGGATGCCTTTGCTCGCCATGGCCTTATTAGTACTAATTGTCATATTTTGGATCACTGTACTCCTTCATTTGCTCTTCATGCCCTTCAGTTTGATTCTGTAGGGAACGGTTGTACTCGTGGTTTTTCCTTTTAATCTATTCTTCTTGATTTAAAAAAAAGAAAAGAAAAGAACTGTTTGACTAAAATGCTTTTACAAATTCAAAACCCTTAAAAATATTAAAAACACTTCTAACAGAGAAAAGCGTGAAAGCTCTTCTAAATATAAGTGCCTCCAAATTTGAAAAAAGCAATTATGGACAAAAAGTGCTTCCTAGACCATCTTCAAAGAAGATGTCAGATTTTAAACAAAAAATTTAAATTTGACAGCTTATGTTGCATTTTGACATATTTTAAAATTTTACTCTTCATCTGATATGTCAAATTAAATTATTATTTTATTTTTCATAATTTTTGTTTTGACATTATCTAGATCTTTTTTCCACCACCTCTTTGTTGACCTCGCCCATCACATGGTCCCCTCTTGCAATGAACTGCATCATCCTTCTCAAATCCACCAACTCCCTCTTCATCAAGAAAAGCCTCTCCTTCAATGTCAGATTCTCTTCCTCCAATTGAACAATATGGGTTTCCTGATCATCCACCCTATCCAAAAGCATTGTTACAAGCAACCCCACTGTAGTTTGGGTACACCATGTCGAACCGACTCAAATCATGATCCAACCTCCTTTCCACCTCCACATGGTCCTCCACATCCCTCTCACTTGATCAGCAACCACCCTCCTCGTCATCATTTCCAGGTGAAGGAAGCCAAATCAACTCTTTCATTGACCCATACCCATCAATACCCACTCCGCTTTCGCCATATCTCTTAAGATCTCCCTCAAAGGTGAAACATGGGCATGGGCAGAATAGTCGGAGTCATCGCACAAGGTGAACCCAATGAGGCTAAGATTCAACGGCGACGGCTTTTGGGCGGCGAATTAAGGCATCGGCTGAGGCCAAGCCTTGTAGTTCCGATTCATCATCATCAGCTGAGACTGACTCTTCATCATCATCAACAAGTAATAAATGTTTTAAAACTATAAAATATTAATAAAAAGCATTTAATAATAAATTAAAATGTATTTGAAGCTGCTGTCAAATTTGACAGCAAACCCTTTTGCTGCTATTCCATGTCATGCTGCATAAGATTTGACATTTCGGTTGGAAACAATAGTGGATGTCTTTTTTTACTGTTATACCTTATGTGGACAATTTGGCATCTCCACCTCTTATAAGGGCAGTTTTAAGCATGCCTTCATCTCTATAATCATTTACTTGGAACAAATATACGGTATCCATATCGTTTCATAATAATGATACAAACGCAATATACACAAAACACGTATTATTATTATTATTGGCGCCAAACGTCCCAATCTCAGAGTCTCACAATGGCGTTAAAGTCAAGTCACAAACTTCCCCACTTATTCATAAAGCGACCAAGACAAAGAGGAAACCCTGAAGCTTTGAGCTACAGAGAAAAAACGGGGATTTGGGATTACATCTCCGGGACAACCGATTCGCTGAAACGGAAAAGCTTCGGACCTCGGTGGCCAACACCCAATTCGGTCAAACGAATTACACCCGATGTAACTGTGAACACGAAAGATTTGAAATTTCGATGTCTACAGTAACATCTGCCAAGAACTTGTGCTCCGCCGCTTACGGGTACGGGGCTAGAGTTCAGTTCCAGTAACCTATTAAACTCACTTCCCAAATTATATGTGGGAATTTGTTGACATGGAAATATCAAGGGAAGAGCCCTCCCTTTTCAGTGTATCCAGATACTCAGCTGAAGGTTGTGCCCTTGCAACTTTGGCAATAGCCTTGTTTTCTGCATCTGTCCCTCCATCCAAAAACGCTCCCACAATCCTCCCGTCCTTGATCCATGCTGCTCCAAACTTCGGTTGGTTTGATGCCGGATTGGGGTCCCCAAACAGCAACAGATCGCCCACATTATATTCATAAAATGTCCACGACAAATCAAAGGCACGGGAGTAGAAGTACGGAACATAGTCATACACTTCAATGCACTTCCCTTCCTCGCTTGCCCTGATAGCTCTCACAGCATGCTCAGCTGATTTTCTGGCATGGTCAACATGCTCAACTCTTCTCATGTCGTCATACAATTTCATAGGGAAAGTAGCAATGTCCCCCACGGCGTATACATGAGGGACATCTGTTTCGAACATTCCATCAGTTTGGATTCCGCCTTTCTCTTCACTGACTTGCCCTTCGAACAAATCAATTAGAGGCTTTGCGCTGACACCAACAACAACAATGTCAGCTTGCAGCACCCTGCCATCCTTGAGTTTCACTGCCTTTACCTCTCCGTTCGTGTCAGCATCGAACCCTACTGCAGTGGTGCCCTTGATCATTTGAACTCCTTTATTGGCGTAGTAACCCTCGTAGAAAGCGGCTATCTCTTTAGTGAAAAGCCGAGGCATGCACCACGGTTCCGGAAAAACCATGGTGACATTGAACTTGTTGATTCTAATAGCTGCTCCGACTTCAAGACCAATGTACCCTCCTCCAACAATCACTACCTTTCCGTTTTTCTTGGCTCTAATTGCCTCCACAAGTTTATCGGCATTGCTGATTTCCCTCAAGTAGAAAATGTTTTTGGCATCATCTCCTTGCACACCAAATTCCGTCAACCTTATAACTCTGGAACCAGTTGCAATGATCAAAGTTTCGAATTCAAACATTCCCCCAGTTGCACTAGTGAGGATCTTTGATTGAAGATCTGCTTCGACTATTTGTGTGCTAAGAAGTAACTCAATGCCTTTCTCCGCATACCACTCCGGAAGCAGCTTCTCTCCTCCACTTCCGACACAGACATGGAACCCCGGAAGCCTTGCAGCTCCCTCAGGAAGCAGATAGCCCTTACTAAGTGCCGGACGTTCATAAGGTGCAACGGCTTCTTTGGATATGATCGCTAACTCACCAGGTTCAAGCCCTTGCTTGACAAACTCCCTTGCTGCGTATCCAGCTGCAACTCCACCACCGATGATCACGTACCTAAACGACTTCTTACTGGAAATCTCACTAAAGAGACTACCCTTTTCAAGCAATTCTTCAACTTCTCCAATTTTTTCATCAACAAGCTTTGCAAGATGTGCAATCGAGAGAAATTTCCGTTCGCCGAGTTTTTCAATAGTTAGTATTTGAGTTTTGATCCTTTCCACATTCTCTAACCACTCATAGACTTCATCGCGTTGCGGTTTACTTGGAAGGAGAGGCTCGGCCTCTATTTTCTCGATTATATCTTGACTTTGGCTAATCAAAGTTTTGTTGATACTTTAACCATCGTGTAATCAGAGCCCATATGAACATTATTGGTTCACAAATCCGTGTCAGAAATCCCATAGCTTCCTGCACATCACCAGAACAATGCAAGATAATTTTACTCTGAATATACGGTACCTCGATCCATATATTTTTCAACAAGCAATTCGATATATAGAGGATCATTAATCTGGTTTTCGAAACTGTGGTTAACATTTTGTACCATATCATATACAGGTCCTAGCAACATCTTCGTCTATTTATGTATTGAGTTTTAATCTCTTTTAGTGAAAGTCCTATTAACTTCATTAGCACCAGCCTTTATCTTTTTCATTTCCACATGATTTTCCAGATATTTGTCGAGATTTTTGTCGAAATTATACTCTTCCTGATTTGTTGGGATGAAAAAACTTAGAGTACACAACTCTAGCACAAGTGTTGGAGAGACAATACAAGTAAACAAATTACTTATATTACACAAACAAAATATTACAACACAAACTATCAAAGACACTCATTTACTTTCTAGAGACAAACTCTAGAGCACTCACACTCTTACAAGACTATTCTTTCTTCTCACTCTCGCTTGCTTGCTTACAAGCTTGCTTGTTGATTTGTTTTTCTTACCAACACACATGCATACATATTTATAGGCATGTTTGCCGACATATGGCCTCACTAGAATTTTCTAGTGCATGATCATGCACACACTACACCAACCTAGGCTTTGCATATCAGCCTTGCCGACTTAAATGATGCTAGAATTCTCTAGCATATTATTACACACACATACACACATTTGTTATAATAGCTAGACAATTCTAGCTTGTTCCCACCGACACACTTATGCGAGAAGATTCTAGCATATGAATGCTGTCTCCTTTGTTTCTTCATCATGGGCCAATCTTTATTATTTGGGCTGGTGTTGTACTTTTAACACTCCCCCTCAACACCAGCTCATTCTTCTCTCCATGCTGAGTTGATGACGAAACTTTTCAAACTTGCCGGTACTTAAACCTTTAGTGAACAAGTCCGCAACTTGTTCATCTGTATTGATTTGTCTTATCTCAATCTCTTCTTGCAAGACCTTTTCTCTAATGAAATGATAATGTACCTTCACATGTTTAGTTCTTGCATGAAAGACTGGATTTTCCGCCAAGCGAATTGCCGATTGGTTATCACAGTACAATGGTACTGGATAATCTACTGGTTGATGTAGATCACTCATCAACTGTACCAGCCATGCATTCTCTTGAGCTGCCATTGCTGCTGCTCTATACTCTGCTTCTGTGGTTGACAAAGACACCATTGGTTGTCTCTTGCTGCACCACGAAACTACTCCAGAACCAATTTTGAAGACATACCCAGTGGTCGATCTCCTGGTGTCGTGATCTCCTGCAAAATCTGCATCACAATAGCCAACCAACTTACCATCTTCTCCTTTCTTGTACACGAGACCATAGTCAATTGTACTCTTTACATATCTTAATATTCGTCGAACCGCTTCTAGATGAGGCTTCTTTGGATTTTGCATGTATCGACTCATAACACCAACTGCATAGGAAATGTCAGGTCGAGTCAAAGTCAGATAGATCAGACTACCTACCAATTGTCGATACATTGTTGCATCTTCCAAGTCTCTGCCTTCATGTGCACACATCTTGGCATTAGGTTCCACCGGTGTTGAGATTGGCTTGCATTCAAGCATCCCAAACTTCTGCAACAAGTCTTTTGCATACTTTTGTTAACACAGAAATATGCCTTCTTGTGTGCGATCAACCTCTAATCCAAGAAAGTGCTTGAGTTGTCCAAGCTCTTTCATCTTGAACTGAACTGACAAATTTTCTTTTGTTCGACAAATTTCAACCTCATCATCGCCAGTGATGATTAGGTCATCCACGTACACCAGCACGATAGCTAACTTTCCTCCATTAGCTTTAACAAATAAGCTGGAATCTGCATGCGCCACTGAGTAACCACTTTGCGTTAGAAATTCTGCAATTTTACCGTACCACGCCCTTGGTGCTTGTTTTAGACCGTAGAGTGCTTTCCTCAACTTGCACACGTACTCAGGATGAACTTTACTTTCAAAGCCCATTGGTTGCATCATGTAGATTTCCCGATCTAACTCTCCATGCAAGAAAGCATTCTTCACATCCATCTAGTATAGATTCCAATTTTTGTTAGCTGCAAGTGCAAGTAGGACTCGTACGGTTGTAAGCTTTGCTACTGGACTAAACGTTTCATCATAGTCTAGTCCATATTGCTGAGAGAAGCCTCGAGCCACCAACCGAGCCTTGTACCTTTCAACTGAACCATCAGGACGACGCTTTATCTTGTACACCCATTTGCAGGATATGGGTTTCACATCCCTTGGCTTTGGCACCAAATCCCAAGTCTGATTCTGCTTAAGCGCAGTGATTTCTTCTTCCATAGCTTTTATCCATTCAGAACTCTGTGATGCTTCTTCAAACACCTCAGGTTCTTTTGGTGCTCCATCAATTATGGCAACATTAGCATATTTAGGATTTGGCTTTCGTACTCTTGTTAACCTTCTTAGTTGTGATTGTGGAGTTGATACTTCTACTCTACTAGGTCTAACTTCTTGTGGTTGTTGGTACACACCTGTTTGCCCAGGACTCTTAGGTACTTCTTGCTCAACATCGTCTCCAGCAAGCAAATCTTCAGGCTCATCTGGACTTGATTGGATTTGGGCAGCTTGGTCTCCCAGTTTCCCTTGCAACGTATCTTCAAACTCTTTTGGGTCAAGCGACGCCTCATTTTCTGAGCACCAACAAAATGATGCTTCTGCGTCACATTCTTCCTCCACAGCTAGAGACGCAACGACATCCCAATCATCTTCAATTTTCTTCTCTGAGTTGGCGACGTTACTTTCTGCAGGCCTTTTGAACCAGCAATCCTTCGCCATGTGGCCATTCTTTCCACAATTGTAACACTTGCCCTCAAATCTTTTATTATTCTGGGACTGACCACGGTTGCCGTGATACTTCGGAGCTCCCCCTGGTCGAGAACTCCCTCCTCCTTGATGACCTTTTTCCTTGTCACCATTTCTTTTAGATCCACCACCAGCACGCTACTTAAAGTTGCCTTTACTTTTGGTGTAGAGCGCTTCCTCCTCACCTTTTAACGAGATCCCTCCCATTTGCTTTGACAAAGCTTCTTGATCGGCAAGCAAATTCTCAAACTCAACAAGTGATGGTTGGGTCGGCCATCCTTGTACAGCGGCAACGAAGCCTCGATATTCGGGTCTCAATCCATGGATAATTATTCTTTTTATCCTGGATTCTACAATAGCAGCACTAGGATCTAATTCAGAAATTTCACGGCAAATAGACTTTACCTTGTGGAAATACTGCGCAATCGTCATGTCCCTTTGGGCCACTGATAATAGCTCGTTCTCGAGAAGCTGCAGTCTTGTATCGTTCCTCTTTGAAAAGAGTGTGGCGAAGGTGTCCCATGCTTCTTTTGGTGTCTTGGCCTTCTGTATGTGCTCTAACATGTCATCTTCAACTGTGGTTTTTAAGGCAAACATGGCCTTACCTGCCTTGATCTTCCACTTCCTCAAAGCGCTGCTAGTGTCTTCTTCTGGCTGCGTAACTTCATTACCGCTGACTACATCCCAAAGATCTTGGCCTTGTAGGTAAGACTCCATACACGTCGCCCACGTGTTGTAATTTTTGTTGTTCAACTTCTTGATTCCTCCAACAACTTGAAGGTCTCCCATCGTGTCGGCAGAGCTTCGATAAGCCGAACAAGATTAACGAATAATCTTACGAAGTACTAAACTTCTCACGATTCTCAAAAGCTTTAATAGAGACGGTCCCTGATCGTACCGCTCTGATACCAATTGTTAGGGTAAAAAAACTTAGAGTACACAACTCTAGCACAAGTGTTGGAGAGACAATACAAGTAAACAAATTACTTATATTACACAAACAAAATATTACAACACAAACTATCAAAGACACTCATTCACTTTCTAGAGACAAACTCTAGAGCACTCACACTCTTACAAGACTATTCTTTCTTCTCACTCTCACTTGCTTGCTTGCTTACAAGCTTGCTTGTTGATTTGTTTTTCTTACCAACACACATGCATACATATTTATAGGCATGTTTGCCGACATATGGCCTCACTAGAATTTTCTAGTGCATGATCATGCACACACTACACCAACCTAGGCTTTGCATATCAGCCTTGCCGACTTAAATGATGCTAGAATTCTCTAGCATATTATTACACACACATACACACATTTGTTATAATAGCTAGACAATTCTAGCTTGTTCCCACCTACACACTTATGCTAGAAGATTCTAGCATATGAATGCTGTCTCCTTTGTTTCTTCATCATGGGCCAATCTTTATTATTTGGGCTGGTGTTGTACTTTTAACATGATTCTCATTTGAAGAGCGGGGAACTAGCAGTAATTGTATCTGTTTACGATGGCTAGCTCTTGGTTGTTTGGGTTTGATCTAAAATTAGTTGTTAACTGTTATCTGATTAATTAACTAAACTATCAGAAATTTGTAACATATAAGAAACTAGCAGTCGATAATTTTCAGAAAAGAGAGCGTACCTGGCTTCACTGACTGCTAAAACAGGTAAAGGTCGCGTCCTCTATGAAAAGAAACCGAAAACCAGAGCAAATTAAAAGTAACTTATGTGTGCGAGGGATTGCCTTGAAAGGCTAAGCCCTTTATAAGAGAACTGAAAACTTAAAAGCATAGAGTTACTGAAGCAAAGTATCTGCTGGTCTTGGTGGAAGCAAAGAATGTCTTTAGAAGCACCGGATAAAATGGCACTCTAAATCTTGGATAAGCACTTTCTGAAGTTCAAGTACTTTTAAAAATTACAATCTGATGCTAAGCCTTTTCTTGAAACAAGGGCAAGAACAATTATGTACAGTACAACTTTTCAACACTGCCATATGACACGAACACCCTCACATAAGATTTGTTTCGGACAAACGCAATTGTTGTGGAAAACTCGCATCCCAACTATTTCGAGCTACACTAATCAACCAAATAAAAAGCTTTTGGCGAAATCTTAAGTCTAGGCCCCTCAATAAAACAGATGGAATTGCAAAAGCACTTAGAGATACACAGCAGAGCCGGCCCTGAGGGTGTGCAAAAGGTGCCACCGCACGGGGCCCCCAAATTTTCATTCAATCATATTTATATTTGTGGTTCTAGAGCTAGCGGTTTAGCTCTTCTTCCTGATTGCCCATGTGCTGAGTTAACAAAAATGCATCCAACGTGTATCGAAACTAGGACCTTTGAAGGTAAGGAAAAAAACCTAGCCGATCAAACAACTTATTTTTGTTGCAGTAACTTGTAATATTTTAATTTTATAGATGAAAAAATTGGAAAAAAAATAATAAAGAAATATAACATTAAAAAAATAAAGGGCCTCTATTTAAGTTTTGCACAGAACCCTGTAAAACTCAGGTCCGGCCCTGATACACAGTATAAATTCATGACTAATAGTGATCATGGCTCCACCTATCTTCACTCGGTACCTGGCGTTGCCTTCTATTTCCAATGGTCTTCTTACGTTTCCCGGCAAAAAAACAATTAGATCATCCAAGAAATGCCCGCCCATAAACTCCTCCATCACATCTTCGAACGAATCTCATCAGCTGACTTCAAATCTGCACATGGCTTATCTATCTCCTCTTGCTTGTGTAATTTCCTGTTTTCACTGAATTCCTTCTTCAATCCATCTAGATCAACCTGTACCGCCTTCAAATGCACTTTTTCTTTATCAGACTCCTTTTGAGAAGTTTGGTTATCGGACTCTTTAACGTCACGAAGTGATTTGGAAAGAATTTTGTAACCTAAAATCCACCTAAAAGTTAGTAGAAAACAAATGCCGGCTAGGCTTGTAGCAAACTCCGCATCAATGCATGACACCAACACTTTGGAAACTCATGGAACCCAGACTTTATAAAGTTTAAGCAACATATTTACAGGTGAAGGAAAGACGATAAAGATATCAGCAAACCAAATAATATAAATACTTGCTTGGCAAAAATAAATATATAAATTCTTGTACATAAATATAGCAGTATTCAGACACTTACCTAAGGCTATATCGACGCAATTTAATTTTCCAAAAAATGAGAAAATGACGAGGAAACAAAACCTGGGACGGTTTTGAGGCTCTCATGCGCTGTGTGTTTAACGATGCTAGAGCTGAACCGGACGATCTTTGCCCGGCCTTCCGTGTCCCCCAAATAATAATTCAAGTTACCCCGGACGGCCTTGTCGATTTGGGTAACGGCACCCGCCCCGTACCCGTAAGCGGTGGAGCACAAGTTCTTGGCAGATGTTACATCGGGTGTGATTCATTTGAAAACGAAATACGTAAGCGGTGAATCACACCAGATGTAACAAGAAAAAACTGTTTTTTATATTAATTGAGAGGCTAACTTTGTAGTGGATGTCTTCGCTCGCCATGACCTTATTATTACTGATTGTCATATTTTGGATCATTGTACTCATTCATTTGCTCTTCATGCCCTTCAGTTTGATTATGTAAGGAACAGTTGTACTCGTGGTTTTTCCTCTTAATTTATTCTTCTTGATTAAAAAAAAAAAAAAAACAACTGTTTGACTAAAATGCTTTTACAAATTCAAAACCCTTAAAAATATTAAAAAACACTTCTAACAGAGAGTATAGTTGCATATGGTTTTATACAAGCGATATTAAGGGAATACAACTCGAACACACAAACCCCTTGCACTATTACTTTAAGCCATTTTTTTTTTTTCAAAACAACAGCAGCTTGAGGCTTAAGAAATACACAATCGTAAGTCCCGAACAAACAAAAAAATAAAAATAGAGTTCTTTACATCTTAAAACATAATAGCGTTAAAGTCAAGTCACAAACTTCCCCACTTATTCATAAAGCGACCAAGACAAAGAGGAAAGCCTGAAGCTTTGAGCTACAGAGACAAAATGGGGATTTGGGATTACATCTCCGGGACAACCGATTCGCTGAAACGGAAAAGCTTCGGACCTCGGTGGCCGACACCCGATTCGGTCAAACGAATCACACCCGATGTAACATCTGCCAAGAACTTGTGCTCCACCGCTTACGGGTACGGTGCGGGTGCCGTTACCCAAATCGACAAGGCCGTCCGGGGTAACTTGAATTATTATTTGGGGGACACGGAAGGCCGGGCAAAGATCGTCCGGTTCAGCTCCAGCATCGTTAAACACACAGCGCATGAGAGCCTCAAAACCGTCCCAGGTTTTGTTTCCTCGTCATTTTCTCATTTTTTGGAAAATTAAATCGCGTCGATATTGTGGAAAATCTGATGTATATTTCATGTATGAAAATGGTTTACAAGATCAACCATAAATAGAAGTGGAATACTAGACAGAAAGTAGAGGAAAGGTGCGGACTGAGATGGCAGCTCAGCAAGCATTGAGATGGCAGCTCAGCAAGCATAATTGAAGCACTATCTCTAACTTAAACTAATACCTAGCTTTACATGATGAGGGAACCTAGCCGAAAGTAAGAAAGTAAGATGACAATGAGTACAATGACAACTAGACAACCCTACCACCAATAATAATAGATACTTCAATACTCCCCCTCAAGCTGGATCGAGAGTTCTTCTGGATCCAAGCTTGAAGAGAAGACGATCAAGTTGTGCAGAAGGCAGAAGCTTGGTGAACACATCGGCAAGTTGATCACTGGAGCGAACAAATACAGTTTGTAATAGCTTGGACTGAACTTGGTTGCGAACGAAATGACAGTCAACCTCGATGTGCTTTGTGCGTTCATGGAAGACGGGGTTGGCAGCAATATGCATTGCTGCCTGATTGTCACAGTGAAGAAGAATTGGTTTGGAGGAGATGATTTCAAGATCACGTAGCAACCTCTTTAGCCAAA